TTACATTGAGAGGGCATGGAGTTACCTCACCATCAAGGAATTGCTTAATTCCCGGTTGAAGAGTGATGACGATCGGGAGAGAGACTATTTGATGGAGAAAGCCAAGTCAATGGCCTTGACGTACAACTTTGTTACTCCCTTCACTGTTCTGAAGATGAGAGAAGCTGGGCTCCATTCAGAACCACCTCAAGAGGAGTATATCAGCCCTTCTACTGATGGCATTGGTGAGAAGTTGCAGAGCTTGCAGGGACACAAGGCACCACCAGGTACGAGGGAAAAATAACCATGTGCTGGTAAGAAATGTTTTTGCATAGGTAATGTCTCATGGCTGACTTTGGTAACAGGGATGACCTAGCCAATGAACTGAGGGGTGGTAAACAGAAAGCTGAGATGTTCATATCAGTTTTGCAAACTGTGGTCTGAGTGACCTTGTGTAAACATTTTAGGCACCTGACTCACCCCCCTGGAAGCGCTCACTGCTCTGCAGAAACTCTTGAAGAAAAATTGGTATTCTAAATGAAGCTTAAAGTAGCTGCAGGATTATGTCCCATAATCTCGCTGAATAATGTTTTGGGAACATCATTATACTATGGCTCTTTCTGCTGCTCAGTAAGTCATTGTAACAGCCTTCCTTCCCCATTTCTAGGTATACGCCGACAGCAAGATAAACAAAGAATTAAAATCTCCAAAACTTCAGGTCAGTGCCTTTAATAATTCAAAATGATAGTAGTTGATTTATAGAAACTTCAGATGCGTGCCACTGTGGTATACCCATCCCGACGGATCAGCCAAAATACTATTTGCTAGACCTGCAGGGTAGGGAGGAAAATGGAAACAAAAACAAAATACAGAGAGGATCAGTAATGAGAAGTGGTGCGAGGAAACATATCAAGGCAGATGGTCTACAACACCTAATCCTCCTGTTTGAGACTTCTGTAGATTAGGGAAGAACAGGAAGCATGTTCTCTCTGTACTAGATCTAGTAAAAATAACATTTTATAAAATAATGTTGCTGAAACATAAAAAGTGTTGTTGAAGGGAAAAAAAAAAAAGAAAATTCTATAGTGTTTTGCTACTTCCCTGTTGGTTCTTCACCTCTGCTTAACATCTTTTTCATGCATTAAACACTGATGAATAAGCCCAGATCAAGAATTTAGACTTGAATTTCACTGGATAAGGTCAAATTTACCTTAAAAACTAGGATTTTGGCATGTCTTATTATTCATAACAACTATCCGGTAATTGATGGTGACCTATGGTCAAGGACTGTTGAAAAATTAAGGTCGTGGGATTGTTTAAAATCTGCTGTTGACTGCTCCAATCTGACATTGAGGACGAGGAAGGTTCAGTGTGACAGTTCCCATAAATCACTGAAACGATATTCCAGGAAGAAAATATCTTGATTTTCACCTGGACTGCTTTGGGTTTTGAGTTTTCATTGAAAACCCAACCTCTTCTGTGAGAAAAACAAAACAAAATAAAATAATCTTTGTGAAAAACAAAGCGAAACTTGGCATTTCCTGGCAAACTCCATCTGACTCTCTAAAAACAACAAACAGAGAGGTCTCAGAAAAAACAGGAACAAACACACTTTGAAAGGCGGTTTTGTTACATTCTTGGACACTGCAGTTTTGTGTAAGTCTCTCACACTTGTCTCTTTTTTCATATCTTCTCAGCTGATGGAGACCCTCACTTTGTCATTGATTTTCCCTCCAGCAAGTTCTCTGTCTGCTTCAATATTGATGGAGAACCAGGGGACATTCTCCGACTGGTCTCTGATCATAAGGAATCCGGTGAGCAGCCAGCCAAAGCAGTTGCTTGCAGAGGAAAGCTGAAGTGCAAGGCCAGCTCTCTAGCAATAAAACTAGAATACCGAAGTGCTTCGTAGGCAAGAAGGTGGCAGGAAATCAGAAAAAGTTGTTTTTGTGGCCAGACAATGGAAAATTGGTGCACACCAGTCTTCCAGGTCTAATCACCTGGATTAGAAGGGGAGGTAAACTGTTCACTTGCACTTGCTGACCTCCAGCTTTATCATAGCTTATGGGTAAATTCACAGCAAGCCTAAGCAAGGAGGAGGCCTGGTTATTGTTACAGACACAATTCATCGACAGAAGTGTAGACTATCACTGAGTAGATCTAACCATAGAGAGAACTGGCCTCTACGTGTATCCAAACTTTTCCTAGTTCAGGTCTTCATTGGCTGGAATCAAGAGAACAGCAATTACACGTAAACAGCCAACGGATCCACTTCAGTGCATGAGGACCACACTGTACCCCTTCAGTCCAGCTGGACTGGAGATCTCAGTTCCTGATCATTAGATCTGGTATGGTCTGGGGGTTGCACTTGGCCAGTGCTACAACAACCACATGAACGAGGAGCCACAGGCACTTTGCATACTGCATGTAGTGTTTGCATAAGCCGTGAGCCACCTCCACGCAGAGACAGCACATCTGTTTGATGGTGCAACTTCATCAGGCCTCAAGCTACAAAGTCACAACGTGCAAATAAAAGACTTGGACTTGCCAAAATTGCTCTGTTACTGGAACTTCACTCTTTACTTACAGTACTGTTCGCTTGAGAATAGAGTAACCAAGCTGGTTACTGGGTCATGACAGCCTTGAGAAAACCCACACGATGCAGGATCTGCTTTGCCCAAGCCAGCCTGATCCTCAGGGGGCCAAACCATGGTCTGATCCCATCTGGAATTCTAAGCAGGGCAGCTAATAAGCAGATTAAGTCCTGAGCAGAGAAACAGTGGGAGGAAGGGGTGTCGAACCAGAGACAATGCACAGACTTGTTTTACAAAGAAGATAACCCCACAATAAAGTTATAAGAATTCTGTTCTGTGTGGCAGTGGTCTGGCCTCCATACTTCTGTGTTCATGCCTTAGTCAATAAGATCCATCTCCTGGCAATGTTTCCCTCAAACTTATTTCACAGACTATGTTTTTGCTATTGCTTAAACAGTTCTGTAGCTCAAATGCAGAATGAGCTTGAGGAAAACAGGCTCTGTAGCACTAGCAAGTTGAGTCTATGAAGACAGAAATGACAGATCTCCCTGGGAATGATGGGATATGAAGATATTCCCTCTACAGGTCCTGCTTGGTCTTAAGTATGTCAGCTAAGGTAGTAACCCTTACTTTGTGGATTCCTAGGCTAATTCTTTTCTTGGGAGTCAGGTAGAGAGGGACTTCAAACTGCAACTGGCTAGTACCCTGAGATCCTCTGAGACAGCGGCATTCAGATTCACCCAGGTCCTCTTCGTAGAAGCCCAGTCCCTATGCCAGTTGGCGATATGAGGAAAAGCAGACCTGTCAGATGCTTTTCCTACTCCTCCAAGATGTAGTATGTTTGCTCAGGTTTGAGTTACACATCAACAAATAGGTGGTCTAGGTGAATCATACCATGACTGGCCGGGCTATAGCAGTCAGGAAGACAAATATTTGTCTTATGTGTCTGAAAATCCCCGCACATCATCTCGATTACAGGTAGGTCTCAAGTTGGACAGAACTTAGGAAGTGGCTGTGCTGAGGAGCAGCTGATCCTATCCTGTAGCACTGTGTATGCAATGTTAGGACTAATGGGGCTGGAGGCACTTGTCTCTTGGGAAGGCCAGTACTTCTGAGGTTGGGTAAATTGAGGTGGTATAAGAGAATCATTTTATAACAGACTGGTTATAATGTTTTGAATAATGGTTGGGGAAATAATCGAACATGAGGTGGTGAATCTGCATGTCCTCATTTGCAAGACTTGTATCTTTGAGACAATAGACCTATTCTTGGTTCCAGCTTTCATATATTGATTATTTTCCTGCAAGGTGTAACTGTGAATGGGCAATTAATTGGAGCTCCTGCACCACCCAACGGCCACAAGAAGCATCGGACTTACTTCAGCACCATCACTATCCTCAGCAATAAGCCAGAGAGGTCTTACCTAGAGATCACACCCAAAAGAATCATCCTGGATGATGGGGAAAGACTTCTTCTGTCCTGTGATCGGAGTGCTGTTGTGCGAAGCAGAAGCCTTGAGGTGTCCATCTCTGCCAATTCCAACATCACTGTGACGATACGAGACACGATCAGCTTTGTCATCCTCATCCACCATTACAAGAAGCCGGCCCCATATCAGAGGAATCACCTGGGGTTCTACATCTCCAACAGTAAAGGCCTCTCTTCTGACTCCCATGGGCTACTGGGTAGGTAATAGGTTCTTAGGTTCAGAGCTGTAAAACAGACAATAATGATCCTTCCAAACAGTTTTAAAGGACAGAGACTGGAGGTAACGAACAAGGCAGGTGGGGATTAGGTTCCCAGATGATACTTCTGCATCCACTCTCAAACAACTTCTCTATTGCTAGTATCCCCAACTCCTCTTCCACCTTTTTTTGTATGAGCTATCTATCCAGCACTATCCCAGCTATGTGGCTGTGTCTGTTTTTCACGTTTCCACTCTTTTTATGATTGTTTAATATGTTTGTCATTAGAATAGACATGCTTGATGCTCCCAATATTGCACAAGAACCCCGAAAAAGGCACCAATGAGAGATTCTCTAACAGTAGTCCTAATTCAGAATAGCCCAGCTGCTAACATGCTCTCAGGGACATGGCACAGTAGGGTCTCAATCACTCGAGGCAGAAAGGATAGTCAACGGAGGTCTTGCAGATTCTGAAAGAGAGCTCTAGTCACAGAGCTAGCACATTGCCAGACATCATTGGCGTAGCCCTCAAGTACTGCACTTGTACATGTCCAGGTCTTTTTTTTTGCAGGACTGAGTTGTTTACATCTGAGTCTGACTGAGATCGAGAAACATTGGTACTTTCTGTGGCTCCTTTCTTTCAAATGTGAAGTGAAAGAAGAGGCATTCCCACATTTTTAAAGCAACTAGGCTTAGGTAGGCTCAGAGAATGTCTAGATGGTTGGGTTCTTTCAGCCAATGAGAAGTAGTGATGTTTATGGCCATATACAGGTGCAGAACTCTAAGACTGAAGCCACACTTTCTGTGACATTCAGACACCCCTAGGTTAAGCAGGAGATGATCCCTCAGGAGTGGGGTTTTGGATTCAGGCCACCCGCATGCACAAACCTCTCTACGTTTCAGTTTGGCCTGAGAGAGCTTGCCCCCAAGAAGGCAAGGGAAGAGAACTTGGAGCTTCAGGCCTAGATCTTCTTTCTGCCTGCTGATGGGCATCGCATGGGTGGTTATCCTCTAGTGACCATGGCCACAGAAGTGAACTTACTACTAGCAGCTCAAAAACCTCTTTAGCTCAGCCAATGTATCTTGAGTGAAAAAAAGAAATAAGGTTTTATTCTAATCTCTATGTTTGTGAGATTTAGAAAATAATTGCAGGACCTAGATTCACCCTGCTATTGCAGAGGAGCCTTTTACAACCCCATACGCAAAGAATCCTCAAAACGTGTCCTATTAAAAAACCCACAACATCCAACATATAAACAAGCACAAAACAGCCAGTCATGGACTCTATTTTTATCTTGCCTTGCAGGTCAGTTCTTGAACCATGAAGTTAAACTTCTTCAGGAATCTCTAAACACAAGTCATCAGCAGGTTGGTCAGAATCAAACTGAAGCATTAAAGCCAAACCCTACAAACACTCTGAAAGTGAAGGGACGGCTCGTTCCTGTTGTGTGGAAGCAGAGGAGGATCTACAACGGCCAGCAGGAAGTTGACTGCTGGTTTGCCAAAAACAATGCGGACAAACTGATCGATGGGAGCTATAAAGACTATTTGGCTTCTCATCCTTTCGACACAGGGACCAGCTTTGGGACGATCAACAGCCTCTAAGACCAATCCTAGCAATGCATTACAGCAGCATGTGTGACAGTGGTTCCTTTCTGAAGCCTCTAGAGCTAGGCGACTTCTTAATATTTCTTTACTTTTTGGTGCCAAAGAAACCAAGGGGTTTTGCCCTTGGAAATCAGCTGTCTCTCTTTCATGCTAGATGAACATTGTGCATTAAATTCCTGAAGACGAGGATGTCGGGGGGGAAGGGTTAAGGACATGGTTAAAGGCATGATTGGTGCTCTCCCAGTGGGAAGGGAGGGAGAAACAGGCCAGCACTCATATCAAACAGTGCAGAGAGCTGCTGGTCTTAAAATAAACCCATGCAGGGATCTGTGCAATACCCCCAGGGGCTGATGAGTCACCCAGTGAGAGGAACAGATCACATAGCACAGTGCCTATCTAGAGAGACAACCTTGGGTGATATGCCTTGCAAAGAAGTGACTCAGAGCACCTGCTCCAGCCATGGTCCCTGGGGAAAGAAAAAAGAGAGAGAGAGAGAGGAGAGGTGGGTGGATACTCATCTGCAGTGACCCATTAGCATCGAAGAGGTAACAAAGAAATCGAAACCTTAAATCAACAGGTCATAAGAGGGTATTGCTTTCTTGGTTATTGGGATGAGGTCTGGATTTGCCACTAAGCATGATGTTCCCTGAACAACTATGGAGCCTTAAAACGGTGGCGAAAACCTTCATGTGGTTTATTGCTGTCTCGGTGCACAGGCTGCACGCTTAAAAAGCGCCTCCGGTCTTCAGCAGCAACAGGAGTGGTGCAGGCTCCCATTCCATGAAGCATCTCATTTAAACAACAATTCAGGTTTAAGTGACTTCTTGAGTCTGGACTCCCTCAGAGAGAAACAAAGTTCCACCATGAGCTTCCAACAGACCTGCCACCTCCTTGAGCAGAGCATCCCTTCTGCTTAGCAGAGATTTAAATTCTCTAAAGGATGATGAACAAGCACCTGCGATAGTTTATGATCTTGCGAAGCAGCCTCTTGAATTTAGACTAGACATTTCTAGCTGCTTTTCTAATCAGGGAGGAAGTCTTTATTTACTCCAAATTGTCAAAAATTTTTCATCCCAATTTTCCCTGGCTCCTTTTCCCTCCTTACACTGCAGGAATTTGTACGCAGCAG